CTCAGGCCGTGTGGTGGACGGCAGGTTAGCACACAGCCCATCTGGAGTTGCTTCCTGGCACTGCCTGCTTTGGGAGGCCTCGTGGGCTCTCTGGACAGTGGAGGGACGGGGATAGCAGTCAGGGGTCTGAGCCCATCTGAGGCACTAACGCCTTGGGAGGTCTCCCCCACCCTACCATCTTAAGGACAAGGCCACGGAGGCCCCAAGACTCAAGACCTTCCCTCTCCAAAGCCCCTTCCAACTCTACTGTTTCCAGTCTTTTCTGAATTCTCATTAAGAGGGTATTTTGATTTTCCAATCTGCATTCCAGCTCCTTCCCGTGGGCCTTGACCCTCTGGCAGGGGACCGGGCAGGTGTGGGACTCCCTGAACGGCGTGGGAGCCTGCGCGTCTCCCAGGAAGGGGGCGAGGCCTGCAGATGCGCCTGGGTCCTCGCAGTGGGCTGCCCGGAAACGCGCTCCCGATTCCTGCGTCTCAGTTACGGGCCCCTCGGTTCAGTCTGCTCGGAAATTGGGTAAGTGTTTTCCTACCCGAATGCGGGTAACCGCCGTGAATGTACAGCTGGAAAGTCTCGCGCTCAGAGCAGACCACACAGGGACTGGCCCAGTGAAACCCAACAGGCCGCGGGGAAGCGGGTCTGGAGGAGGCGATGTCTTTCCACCAGCATCGCCGTGTTTGCAGTTCACTGAGACTGAAGCCTTGGCATGGGCTCCAGCGTGGAGCGGGCGGAGGGCCCAGGAGAGGGTCCTGAGTGCTGGCCTCGGCCGCGGAGGCTGGACGTGCCCGGCTGTCGCGTGTGTCCATGGGGAGCCGGAGCTGGAGAGGACGACCGCCCGGTCCGCGGCGTCCTGTGCCACATTCTGGGAGGCTGCTCTGCGGCGGGGCCAGCGCGGGTTTAATCAGCCTCTCTCAGCCGCACCGGCCAAGGAAAAGCTGTAAGCCAGGAGCAGGGCTGGCGCCCGCTCCGCACAAAAACAGAGCCGGCATTGTCCCCGCCCCCATCTGCGCTGACCACACAAATGGTTCTAATCAGCTTCCAGGGGCTCTCTGCGGTGCTTTAAGATGTTTGCTGGAGCATTCTTGGGCAGATCACCCTCCAGCTTGGAACACCTCCTTCCCACCCTCCTCGCTGAAACAGAAGGGACGATGAGGTGTGAGCTGGGCAAGCGTGTGTGCACGTGTGCCCGTGTGTGCGGGCCGTGCACACCCTTGGCACGTTTCCATTTCCATGCACTGAAAGCCCTGACTGTTCATGTCCCCCACTGCCTCAGGACAGGCACCAGGCCTCTGGAC